TTTTTTTTTGAAACGGAGTCTTGCTCTGTTGCCAGGCTGGAGTGCAGTGGTGCAATCTCGGCTCACTGAAACCTCCGCCTCCTGGTTTCAAGCGATTCTTCCGCCTCAGCCTCCCGAGTAACTGGGACTACAGGCACGTGCCACCATGTCCGGCTATTTTTTGTATTTTTAGTAGAGACGGGGTTTCACCATGTTGGCCAGGATGGACTCGATCTCTTGACTTCGTGATCTGCCCACCTCGGCCTCCCAAAGTGCTGGGATTACAGGCGTGAGCCACTGCGCCAGGTCGAATTTCAAAAATTTTAAAGGAGTACTCAAATAGATTACACAATTTACTATATTGAAAAACGGTCTCGGCTGGGTATGGTGGCTCATGCCTGTAACCCCAGCACTTTGGGAGGCCCAAGCGGATAGATTACTTGAGGTCAGAGGTGGTGAAACCCTATCCAAACAGACAGTACAAATGTGGAACTCTCAGGATTAAAAGCAGTGACATCCCTGGATATCTGTATGTAATATACAATAACCCTATCCTTTTGTATATGTACAATAGCATACTATAAGGGCTTTATGCAAAGACTCTTTTATTATGGTGCAAGAGAAAGGGAAAACATAAATTAAAATCTAGAAAATATATTATGTATTTTCAAAATCTACAGTATACTTACCTTGCAGATCTTTAGAAGAGTTAAGATGAACCTTTTAAAGGCACCTCTGTACAGCCAAATACACTGTAAGGGAACAGGAATTCTTAAAAAGATAGTAATAATTTTTGTACTTCCTAATCTTTTACATATTTTTGATAGCCTTGTAAATTTGGAGCTCTATATTGGGGATTATGGTAAAATTATAGGAATTATTATAACCTCTAACTTCAAGGATCTTAACAATTTAAAAATTTAATCATAAGTATAGCCATATAGCTGTATAACACAAAATTGTAAACATACTGTAATACCTTAATAAAATCCAAAATATACACACATCTTTTTTTTTTTTTTTTTTAAGACGGATTTTCCTTCTTGTTGCCCAGGCTGGAGTACAATGGCACAATCTCAGGGTTTCGTCCACCGCAACCTCTGCCTCCCAGGTTCAAGCATTTCTCCTGCCTCAGCCTCCTGAGTAGCTGGGATTACAGACATGTGCCACCACGCCCAGCTAATTTTCCATTTTTAGTAGAGACAAGGTTTCTCCACATTGGTCAAGCTGGTCTTGAACTCCTGGCCTCAGGAGATCTGCCCACCTCAGCTTCCCAAAGTTCTGGAATTACAGGTGTGAGCCACCACACCTGGTCTACACACATATCTTTTAGCACCTACTTTTATAAAAGCACTTCTATAGAAAAATTAATGTATTCATTTAATAAACATGTATTAAGCACCTTGAATGTGTCCCAGAATATGCCAGCCACTGTGAATTAGAGGTGAACAGGGCAGTCCTCACTTAAAAGGAAATTACTGCTGGAGGAAGGAGGATCTGAAAGCAGGTAAATGATGTGGAATGTTAAGTGCCAGAACAAAAGTATGGATATATCCCCAAAACTAATCATGACTTATTTACTCCCTACAAGTTAAACAATTTGAAAATACAAACTAACTCAGAACAGTAAAATTAAGGGCAGTTAATATTCATATTAATGTTGGCATGCCCATTTTGTTTATAAGAGTTGACCATGAACTTTATAGGTTTTTGTATATGAAAGTCTGTGCTATTTTATCTTGGGTTATTAATTTTATTACTAGTTTTACTGTGTATTCATTTAGCTTTATTTAATTTTTAGATAATCTAATACTGTTATACTGTTTTACAATTTAGTTATTAGTTTCAAAGCAGAATGCTTTTAATTCTTTGTGTGCTACAGGTAACTTTGAAGCAATGCATCACATAGTTCCTGTTTATTACCCACAGGTGGGTAAGCCAAAATTAGTCTTTTTCTCTGAAATACAGAGATACCCTGTAAATGGAAATACATCTCCAGAAAGTTCCCGAGAAGATTACACTAAAATTATTAAAGAGATGGGGTAGGTTCTTTCAAATACTTATGTGACTTTATCTTTTTGGTGGGTAGGAGACATCCTCACAGTAAACACAGAGGAATAGAGGCCATCCAATCTGTCTCCTAGTTCTTTGTTCTCAATCCTTTTTGGCCAAACACAGAAAGAAAGAAAGAAAAAGTTCGTTGTTGGTCTGCCCAAACAGTCAGAAAGTTACTGTGGGAAGGTCATTTCTGGAAGAGTTGGGAATTAGACTGGATATACCCACTGAGGTAGGGTAGGGGACTCAGGAAAATCCCAGAGGCAGAGGTTAAGATGTCTCAATGATCAGGGATTCTGTCAAAGGAGTCCGAGGTCCAGCTGATGATGAGTAGTCCACCAGTGGCAGAGCATATGGTTGCAGAAAGAAGTCCAGAGGACTACAGAATTAGGCTACTTTCACCATTTCTACAAACCGAGGATTTTTAAGCTATTGTCTCTGAAGGAGATGAAGGTTTCACCTGATGAGGAAAAAAAATTGCTTTTTGGTTTAAAAAGGTATTGCTTTGATGGAAAAATAAACCAGAGCCGGGAGTGGTGGTTCACACCTGCAATCCCAGCATTTTGGGAAGCTTAGGTGGGTAGATCACTTTGGTCCAGGAGTTCAAGATCAGCCTGGCCAACATGGAGAAACCCTTCTCCACAAAAAAATACAAAAATTAGCTGGGCATGGTGGTCCGTGCCTGTAGTCCTAGCTACTTAGGAGGCTGAGGTGGGAAGATTACTTGAGCCTGGGAGATAGAGGTTGCAATGATCTGAGATCTTTCCACTGCACTCCAGACTAGGCAACAGAGTGGGACCCATCTCAATAAATTAAATAAATAAATACCCATACCAGAAAGTAATTTCAATTACATATAAAACATTAGACATCTGCCATATGCTGGGCAACACTGAATATAAAAACTCAAATGAGGCGGGGCACAGTGGTTCACACCTGTAATCCCAGCACTTTGGGAGGCCAAGGTGGGTGGATCACGAGATCAAGAGATCAAGACCATCCTGGCTAACATGGTGAAACCCATGTCTCTACTAAAAATACAAAAATTAGCTGGGCGAGGTGGCACACGCCTATAGTCCCAGATACTGGGGAGGCTGAGGCAGGGAAATTGCTTGAACCCAGGAGGCAGAGGTTTCAGTGAGCTGAGCTTGGGCCACTGCACTCCAGCCTGGCAATTGAGCGAGACTCCATCTCAAAAACAAAACAAACAAACAAAAAACTCAAATGAGATAATGCTGATCTCAAATATTTTGCCATAAGCTAGTTGGGGAGTCAAATATAATAAGATTACTTTATAGTGTGACAAATGCTGTGGGCTTTAAAAACCAGATCCTAACACATCTTATAAATGTTTCATTAAACTTATTTTTTCATTAATAATCAATATAATGATTGTTCTATTGATCTTTCCAACCATATTAGATTAGTCATAACAATATACTAAAGGCCAATAGCATATTTCATTGAGAAAGTAAACAGTGCCAGGGGACATACTTTGGAATAGTTTTCCTTTTTCCAGAACTGCCTGCTGAAGGTCAAGTGAGTTTATCATGAGACACTCTTTGCAGGGTCCCATCAAGGGATGATGATTTGGCATTGCCTAGCAGAGCCCACCTCAAGAAGCCCTGTGAACATTACTGCTGCACTGTCCTACCTCTATTTCCTGCAGAGTGGTTCAGGCTTGCCGGGATGCAGTCTTAGGAGAGAGAAGGTCTGTGGGTATGGAAAGTGCTTTTTGGGGGGAGAAGTGAAAGGATATGCAGGGAGTCCTCATTTTGGCTTTGACTCCTCTCCATTCACAATAAAACAGGAGATGTGCGAGACATTTATTGCTTATATCCCTTGTCATTACCAAACCATTGCCTGCCTGTCTGTAGCACCCCGGTATTCTTTAAAGATTTACACAACTGTTATCAATTCCCAAACAGTGTTCTTAAGTTTTATTTATTTGCCAAGCATTTTGAAAAATTTTGTTAGTATATCATCAAGGTAGAAAAAAAAACAATAAAAATGTACACAGCCTCAGAAAACAATGTTGAATTCTATATGTTGCCACATACATTGTTAGAAAAATATCGAGCTCTGGCCCATTCCCCATCTCTACTAAAAATATAAAAATTAGCTGGACGTGGTGGCACATGCCTGTAGTCCCAGCTACTTGCGAGGCTGAGGCAGGAGAATCGCTTGAACCCAGGAGGTGGAGGTTGCAGTGAGCCAAGATTGTGCCACTGCATTCCAGCCTGGCGACACAGTGAGACTCCGTCTCAAAAAAAAAAAGAAAAAAAAAAGAAAAGAGAAAAGCAAAAAGCAACCGTTTGACTTAATTAAGGGAGAGAATGAGCTTGCAACAGCAGATGTGTCCCTACACTCTATGTTTAATATTCAAGGTGGGGAGCATGCTCAGAGGTGGAAATAAGCTTACAGTGCATCTTCCAAAAGGCCAAAGGTATGTGCCCCACATTCCTTTAGGGTTCTACACACTGGAGGCTCTGCCTGTATCCTATGTGGAGCCAGTGAAGCAACATCTGTCCAAAGACAGGGGAATGTTTTCCACCTCTTTTATAAATGCGTGCAATCTGTGCTCATGTATATTTATACAAGCCTGCTTTCCCTACTGGGAGGAAAAAGTCAGACTCATTGACGTTGTTTTTGACCCTCAAACTGAACTTGATACTATCAATGTACACTTTAATTAAAGATTAGGTCAAACCTATTTTTTATTTAAAGGCTGATTCTGAACAAATGCCTTCACTGTTCAATTTAAAAAACTATGGTATTAAACAAACAAAAAGGTACACATTATTGCTTCTTTCTGTGTTTGTCACAGTAAATACTTCTGACAGATGTTTCCTCTCTTTGCAAACATGCTAGGAGGTGCTTTAGCCTTAGTAATTTTAAAATAGACATTAAATGCATTTATATATTACATTTAAGATCCACTGAGAATACTGTGTAGCACCATACAATGAAAAACAAATTGTTACTTGATTATTTAACTATCTTTCAAGCCCAAGCAATGTTAATAGAGTCAATCCATCTCTTTTGTTAATGTAAAAATAATAACTTTCTAGCTGGGTAAAAATGCCCTTAATTTCAGATACCTTTAAGGAATGCAAATCACTGGGACCCATAATTCACAGGAAGTATTCACTGTATGTTATTTAACTATTTCTAAAATACCTAGTATCCTTTGTAAGCATATGGAAGCATTAGGTTTCTTTGAATTAAAAAGTGAACTTGAATAACAGTTAAAAAAAAACTTTCCTTCACCACTGTTAAGGTTATGTTTGAACACTTGTAACAACAGATCTATGTGCTTAGGAAAGAATTTTTAAAACTCAGATATTTTTAGTCACAAAACTCTAGGATGATGTTATATAAACTCACTTGCAAAGTTCAAAATGACTTTAATTTTGCTTTGTTAAACATAACAGTCTATTTAATTTTATGTGCAAAATAAGCTTATGTGTATCAGTAATATAGGTATAATGTTAATATTTTTATTTGCAGTTCTCAAAGAACCATTTTGAAATTAGGATACTCCCCTCCTTCCCAAAAAAGTGCAATAGTGGTAAGCAACATAGTTTTTAAGGCTGGGTGAGGTGGCTCATGCCTATAATCCCAGCACTTTGGGAGCTAAGGAAGGAGAGAGGATTGCTTGAGGCCAGAAGTTTGAGGGCAGCCTGGGCAACACAGTGAGATCTCATCTCCATAAGAAAAAAATATTCAGGTGTAATAGCACGTCTCTGTAGTCCCAGCTACTTGGGAGGCTAAGGTGGGAGGATTACTTGAGCCTAGGAGGTTGAGGCTGCAGTGAGCTGCAATTGTGCCACTGCACTCCAGACTGAGCAACAGAGCAATAGAGCAAGACCTTGTCTCAAAAAACAAAAACATTTTTTAGTTAAAACAGACAAGTTTTAGTTAAAACAAGCTAGTTTTTGTGACTTCTAGTCTCAACTCTGTCAATGTTTTACTCTGTGAACAAGAGTTATATAAGACCTAATTAAAAACAATTATATTATTTTCCATTTTTAAATGCCTATATTTTGAAAGCTGAACCTTCATTATCCAAACAAATGTTAAAAGACAGTGGAACTCTTTTAAGAATACGATAAGCCCATTTTATAGGTGGGAAAATGAGGCTTGGAGAGGTACAATCAGAAGGACCCAAGGTCACACAGTTGCCATGAGCAGTGCTAGGACTTGAACACAGCTCACTGACTCCAATAGCCAACCTCTCAAGTACTCTGCTGCAGACTCTCAAACAAAACTGCCCTTAGGAACAGGAAGGGATAGTAATAGAGGACAGGTGAGGAGGTGATTAAGGTGAACTGGAAAGCACATGCAACTGTAGTTGTTTAGCTCCACAATGGTGTGGCCAGATGGACATGCATCACACTAGCTGGCAAGTGAGATATCTCGATTATGAAATCATCTGATTTTTAAATATTTAACTTTTTTTTAAAAATAACCTACACAGGCCAGGCACGGTGGCTCATGCCTGTAATCTCAGCACTTTGGGAGGCCGCGGCGGGCAGAAATCACGAGGTCAGGAGTTTGAGACCAGCCTGACCAACATGGTGAAACCCCGTCTCTACTAAAAATACAAAAGTTAGCTGGGCATGGTGGCTCATGCCACTACTCAGGAGGCTGAAGCAGGAGAATTGCTTAAACCAGGGAGGTGGAAGTTGCAGCGAGCCAAGATCGTGCCACTGCACTCCAGCCTGGAGAACAAAGTGATACTCCACTTCAAAAAAAAAAAAAAAAAAAAATCCATGTACTAGAATGGGTAAAAAGAAAAAAACAAAAACTGATAATGCTGGCTAGGATATGGAGCAACTGGAACTCTCATGTACTACTGATTGGAATGCAAAAATAGTACAGACACTTTGGACAATAGTTTGACATATTCTTTTATTTACGTATTTATCTTTTGAGAGACAGGGTCTCATTTTGTTGCCCAGGCTGGAGTGCAGTGGCTCAAACACAGCTCACTGCAGCCTCAACCTTCTGGGTTCAAGCAATCCTCCTGCCCCACCTTTCCGAGTAGCTGAGACTACAGGCATGTACCACCATACCCATTTAATTTTTTAAATGTTTTGTAGAGACCAGGTCTTGATATATTGCCCAGGCTGGTCTCAAACTCTTGCACCTAAGCAGTTCTCTCACCTCGACCTCCCCAAGTGCTGGGATTGCAGATGTGAACCACTGTACCCAGCCAGTTTGACATATTCTTATAACATTAAGCTGGGTGTGATAGTGCATGCCTGTAGTCCCAGCTACTTGGGAGGCTAGGTTGGGAGGATCACTTGAGCCCTGGAGTTCAAGCCTGCAGTGAGCCGATATCGCACCACTGCACTCCAGCCTGGGCGACAGAATGGAGCCTCCTTAAAAAAAAAAAAAAAGGTAAACATACATTTTAACACATCTAGCAGCTAGCAGTTCACTCCTGGTTATTTTCCCAAGTGAAATGAAAACATATACCCACAAAAACCTGTACCTGAACATTTATAATATTATTCATAATCACCAAAAACTGGAAACAATCCAGAGGTGTTTCAGCTGAAGAATGGATAAACAAACTATGATACATCTATACAATGGAATACCATTCAGCAATACAAAGGAATAAAGTAGTGATATACTCAACAATGTGGATCTCAAAAGCATTATGCTAAGTGAAAGAAACCAGACTCAAAAGGCTACACATACTATATAATATGCTTCTATTTGTATGACTTTCTGGCAAAGGCAAAACCACAGAGACAGAAAACAGATCAGTAGCTGCTGATGGAGGTGGGAGAAAGGGTTGACTGCAAAGGGTCAGCACAAGATAATTCTGGAGAATGAGAGAAATGCTCTGTATCTTTATTGCATTGATGGCTACAAGACATATGTTTATGAAAGCTTGCTGAACTGGGTGAATTCACACTGACAAGGGTGAATTTATGTAAATTATGATTTAAACAATGAGGGAAATAGTTGAAAGGTGAAAAAAATACCAATTAATCTATTGTTTTATATACATATAAAACACTTTTGTATTAAAAACAAAATGAAATAAATTGATATGCATGATTATTTTGCATTATAAGGACAATCTGGGTGCAAAATATAAGAAGCCCCAGACACCTCAAATTTGCTTCATCCTAGACCTGTTCCACCTTTCCTCTAATTTTCTTATTTCCATACCTCTTACAAATCATAGATTTTTCACATGGTTCACTATATCAAGAGGAAAATCTTTGTTTCTGCTTCCTTTTTAAAGCCTGACAGGATTCACACAGTTTGGCAATTAATCTTTAGCCTTTAATATGATTATTGTGTCCTAGATTCTATATGTTTGCTACCTTTTCGGAATACTTTCATTCTTTTAATTTAATGCTTTTTTTTTTTCCCTCTGTATGTAAATACAGGAATCTCTCTTTGAAGCAGTCTGAAAGCTTGCTGACAAAAAATGATGTGCATGAACATCACCTTCTCCATAACCCCAAAGAAAAAGAAAATTTGTTTGTGGAAAATGAGTAAATTCAGCCTCACGTGACAGGAAACGTTTGATTTTGTTTTTAACCTTATAGGACTAGGCAACAATATTTTTTTGGGGTTTGTGGCTTTATGGTATCTCATTATATAAGAAAAACTTTTAAGTTCTTGTTTGATTTGCTGCTTTATACAATCGGAAACTTTGCTTTCCACCTGTGAATTCAGGGACCTAGTTGATTTATTCCTCATTATATACAATTTACTGGGAAAATACGTGTTTTTTCATTCAGCAATAGAAGCCCCTTCAATGGCGCGATCACAGTTCACTGCAGCCTCAACCTCCCAGACTCTTGAGATCCTCCCGTCTCAGCCTTCGGGGTAGCTGGGACTACAGATGTGAGCCACCGAACCGGGCCTCTTTTTGAATCAATAGAATTTTGGTGTGCTTCTTTCTAAAGCGTAAATCTAATTACAGTTATTGGATGGGAATTGAGATGAAAGCCTCAGTACCATTCTGATTGACTAATGTACTAAATCTGTGGGCCACTACTTCCAAATAGTGACACCATTGCTACTGACGGCTTGGTAGTTCCAACTTAGAAATCTACTGGAAAGTATGAAATGATGGTGCATATACAAGAGCGCAGTTTCTTTGGTGACATTTTAAATTTGATATTCCGTTTAACCCCAAAGAAGGTAAGAAATATCCTGCTCTTGGCTTGAGCCCGAGAGTTGGAGGCTGCGGTGAGTCGAGATGGCCCCACTGCACTCCAGCCTGGGCGACGGAAACCCTGTCTGAAACACACAAAAAAACAGAAAACGTCCTATCTACTATGTGAAGTTCTGGCATTGTTTCCAGGGTGTCCTAATTACGTTGCTAGAAAGTACTCAGATTTCCCCTACGAAAACGACTGGTCCAGGACCTGCAGAAACCGCCGCGGGTTGGGGCGGCCGGGGGCCCACGGCTTCCTGGGGAGGCACTGAACAGGCCTTGGGGCGCAGCGCCCGCTTTCTAAAGAAGGCTGGGATCGGATCCCGCCCCGCTGCAAGTCTGCTTTGCGTGGGTCCACAAGTACACCCCCAGAAAAGAATGTTAGGGCCAAATAAAGAGCAGTGGACCCGCCGGGGCAGCGGAGGCGGCAAGCAGGGTCCGCGTCCTCGGCGAGGAGCGCCCGCGATCCCAGGGCTGTCTGCTCCGGGAAGTTCTTAAAGAATCACAGACACTGGGCGCATTCGGGGTCTGGAAGGAAGTGCGGTGTATCTCCCCGGTTTAGGGTAACTAGGCCAGCTTGACTCTTTTACCTTGTGGCAGAATAAACGGCTAGCGCCTCGAAGTGGCACGCTCGACTTTTTCTCACAAAGCCGTTCCCTCCTCAGAGGGCGCCGACCTGGAATCAGACTGGACGGAGGAAGTAGGACCTGGGCAGCGCGAGGCCAACCACAGGCCTCGAGCCCGGCCCCAGAGCGGCCGGCAGCCGGCAGCCGACACCCGGGACTCACCACACGCGGCCCTCAGCGAGGCGCCTCAGGGAAAGCAGCGCGAGGCGGGAACTGATGGGAGGAGCCCGGAGGACGCCCCGCCCCCTAAGCCCGCCCCGCCGGGCGGTTTGATTAATGACCCTCTAAGCCGCCTCAGCCCCGGGCGTATCCCTTCGGGTGGGCGCGCTGCTCCGCCTTATCTGCCTTAGGAGCCCGGAGCACATAGGCCTGGCCGCGGGGTGCCCGCATAAAAGGCGCGGCAGGCGGGGAGTGGAAGCAGCCGTCGACTTGGGCCTCGGCCGTACGAGGATGGAGTGACCTGCGCGGCCCTGGCCACGCAGACCCTGCCGACGCCCCTCGCCCGCTCGCACTGCGGAGCCGAGCCCCACTCGGCCGCTCCAAGAAAGGTGAGGGCACTGTCAGACGCCCACTGCGCGGCTCCCGGGCTCAGAACGGTGGCGGGTGCCGTACTCCGAGGTGAAGCCAGAGGTCCCCCACTGCTCGGGCAGAAATTCCCCCCGACGTGAAGGGCCGAGGGCGGCTGGCGCGCCGTGGTTTTCCGCGGCGTCGGCGAGAAGGAGCCGCGCCACCTCTTGTGCGCGGTGAGCTGAATAACGTCGCCGAAGCGCTAACCAGTGCCGATCCCGAGCTGTGCTTCCGAGATCTTTCGTCTGGAGTAGAGTAGCCCTTTCGCTTAATTTGTCCCCGAAAAGCAAAGCCGCCACCGCGCCCCTCCCTCCTCATCCTTCTAGGAAGCCCAAGAACTCCAGGGCCCCACACCTCTCCCCAGACGTCGGGAGGCAGAACTCGCCCCAGGCAAAACGAGCTCGACCGAGAGCGCCCTCGGGCCCGTTGGGTGGCTGGTGGGCGCACTGGGAGAACCCGGGTGCTGCGTCTCTCGAGTTAAGCCCGACCGCGCCCGGGCCTCACCGCGCCTTCGGTCCTTTGCAGCACGCGCGGCGCGGGAAGCCGCCATGGACCGCGACCGCCCCGCGGGCAGCCCTCTCAGCGCCAGCGCCGAGCCTGCGCCCCTGCCCGCCGCCACCCGTGACTCGAGCCCAGGGCGGACCGAGCCGGGGCCGACGGGCCCCGGGGGCGGCGCGCGTTCTGGGAGCGGAAGGCCGGCGGCGGCGAACGCGGCACGGGAGCGCAGCCGGGTACAGACCCTGCGGCACGCCTTCCTGGAGCTGCAGCGCACGCTGCCGTCCGTCCCACCCGACACCAAGCTGTCCAAGCTGGACGTGCTGCTGCTGGCCACCACCTACATCGCGCACCTCACCCGCAGCCTGCAGGACGACGCCGAGGCACCAGCGGACCCCGGGTTGGGCACCCTGCGTGGCGATGGCTACCTGCACCCGGTCAAGGTAAGCGGGCGGGGCCCACCGCGGGGCTAGGGCCGAGACCGGGACACCTTGATCCGCCCTACTAGTCACTGTCCTGGGTAGATGCTCTCATTACTTTTCGGGTGAGGCGGGAAACAGATCAGGAGAACGACCTCAGCCCACGAGGGTACTGGTGGCAAGGTCCCTACCGCGAGAGGCTGGCTGCTCCTTCGCAGTTCACAGGTGGTGAGTGAGGCGTTTAAAGCCGAGGTGGCTTGGGTAAGAGCCTCGCAGGCCCCTTACAGGATGCAGCAGAAGGATTTGTGCGCCTTCCAAGGGGAGAAATGGGGGCTTGGTTGCACATCCTGATAATTTTTAATATCTGAGTTATATGTATGACCCTTTGAGAGTTTTTAAGCATCTTTAGTTTAAATAATTACACTTTCCTTGATTTTTCTGGGATATTTGAAAGATTTTACGGGAGTAGGAAAACAGTGTTGAAAATTTTTTGGTAAAACTAGTAAGAACAAATGAGACCATTCTGCGTCTCCATAGGGTAAAATTTCAGTCCTTTTAAATAAAGGTTAAATATCATAGACTTGACAGCTACCAAAAGTGTTAGAAAAAACCTACAGTGTTTTAAGTACTTTCGTAATAGATTGACATGTGTGTTGAGTGAATTGATTACTAAATTCAAAGTCTGTAATGTACAAAATTAGACAAGAGAATCCATTTTATGTAATTTCTTTACATATAGGTAAAATGGTCAGTTTTCACTTAACGTGGTATATGTGATTATGCTTCATTACCTGTTGCAGTATCCAGTCTTCGCATTATCCTCTTCTCCTAGATTTGATTGCTTTGAAATCTTACACTGATCTTTCTGTTACAAATACATCATCTCATTATTTGCTAAACCTAAATTTTCAGGGTTTTGGTTCCACCGTCCTGAAATATTTGGCCACACACACAAATGCAAAGTTAAGACTTAAGACTTAGCTTTAAGTATATCAGTGTTCAATAAATTATTTAATAATCATTATTTAATATGTTAAAGCACACCTTCTGATATTAATTGAACTTACAATTGTGTGGTAAGATTTAACAAAATTTACTTTGCAAATATAATCATAATGATAGACTTAAACAATTTCAGTATTATATATGAAGACATGAAATATCATTTATTTATAATTATGATAGACCTTATCTCATTTGTAAGTTTTATAATCTCAGCAAAAAAAGTCATTATTGAAGGGCTTTGTATTACAGTGTTCATTAGATTGCTATTCAAATATACCATTAATATTAAAATTTTTTTGACTTGACATTTGCCATATACGCTAAGGAAGCTTATTTCAACATTAAGTAGATTGTAATACAAAGAGCATCTGTTAAATGCTTTATGGGAGATATAATTCAGAATGAGAAATCAAGATGTTTTTCATATTATTTTCTTGGAATGCTTTTTTTGAATGAATAATGTTAGAAGGGTCATTTCCATGTAACAGTAAGCATAGCAAGCATCTTTTTGCACTTGATTCATATACCAAATGTTTTTTTAATCATAACTTTTTCTTTGTAAATATTTTAAAAGACAACTCCTAATGATACAAAGCCAAATGAAAATGAAATTAATGTTAGTTGAACAAGTGACTAAAATCAAGCAAACTTTAAAATCAAACATTTATTGAATTCCTTCTATGTGCAAAGCACTATTTTAGGGGAGTGAACACCATTATGAATAAGACTCAGTCCCTTTCCTATATGAACATATTATAGAGACAAAGACAAAGAAATAAATAGCAGTATTGGAAGGGAGAATGTTGTATTAGCCATAAAAGAACTATAATTATGTGCTATGGAAGTTCAGAGGAAAGAGATATTATGTACATAATTGAAACCGCCTGTTAACTGTTAACACATTATTTTACAGACACTACCAAAATGTTTAAATGTTTTCTACCTTTGATTAATGGGAAAGAAATGAAAATATTCTAATTATTTGTACTTTTGTGGTTAACTAAAGGCTCATTATAAACTATTGTTTAGTAAAATGTGTTATAAAATGACTTCACTTTTCTGCCTTATAACATAGTGTTAAGTCTTACCCTGATGATCAAAGCTTTTTTAACAAATATCTCAAGGCCATTATTTTGAATCATCAGTCCTTATTATCAGTATCATTAGCACATTAGCACTGTTGGGGATTTACTTTAAAAGCATTTCATAGCAAGACTACCTCTCTACTAAGAATTTTTAAAATTAGGTGGCTGTGGTGTGTGCACCTGTAGTCCCAGCTACTTGAGAGGCATATGCGAGAGGATCGCTTGAGCCCAGGAGATTGAGGCTGCATTGCACCACTGCATGCCTGAACAACTGAGCAAAAGCCTGTCTCTAAAAAGAAAAAAACATCTCAAATGAAACTAGAGGTTTAAGAAACTGGGAATCTGGTGCATAGCCTGAAATGGCAGTTTTTAACCCCTGTTGGGGTATGAGCAATTTATTTCCATTAGCCTCAGGTGCCCAAAAGGCAGTGATTATCCAAGAAAACAGGAATATATTTCAGATCTCTACATTGGCAGAAAAACATAGATGATTTTATTGCCGTGCCCCTTAAGAATCATTGTCTATGAAAGGTAAACAATAATTTAAAAAACAGATAACAGGGTTTTGTTATTTTGAGCCACTTAAGTAAACTAAGTGCATTTTTAAGGTCTTCAGTTTCAGGTTCAATTACAGTTAACTATGAGTTTGCTAAATTTTCTAAGCTTAATGAAACCACAGTAAATGGTTTTAAAGATACCATATTAGGAAAAGTAGAGCTAAGAAAGGATTATATTAATCTATACAATCCTGAAACAAAATGTTGAAATGAAAATGTAAATCAGTCAACTGGCTTTTTGGTGTCATGATGACATGCAACCTAACCAATATTATATTTACATTTTAATTTCAGACTCTTAAAATTATGTGTCTACATTAAATTAAGTTGAATAAAATCATTACAAGCCTTTTTGAAAATCAAGGACACAACATTCTTTTAAAAAGGAAAGTTTATTTTATTAATCCATGAAAAAAGAGGCAAAAATCCACATACACATGTTAGGTTTGCTTCATTAATTCTGTCCTAGCAAGGATGAAAGAAATAGATGCCTTCATTTGTCTCCACTCTTGGCTGAATGATTTAGAGCAATTCTTTTTTTTTTTTTTTTTTTTTTTTT